CTTGTTGTATATTACATAACATTTGCTGTAAGGTCATTGCATGTGAAATCATCTTGACCTGTATGTCTCCGATTTTCAATATGCTTGTGGTTAGTTATACCATCCACTAGCGGATCCAGAATTTAATTTTGGGGGAGGGCTTCAGCCCGAAAGTTTTTTTTTTTCATAAAAATAATGATAATTACTTTGGAAAATAAGAAAGAAACTAACTACCTGTATGAACTGGTGTTTAATTGATTCCTAAAGCCCTTTTAAATGTAATTACACGAACAATAATACTTTAAGAGATACTTTTTTAATATTTTTTTCGATAAAACATGGTTGTATTTTACCATTTTGGAGGGGCTTCAGCCCGAAAGCCCCCCCTCCCCGTAGATCCGCCCGTGATACCATCTAAATTGATCACAAATCAAAATAGGAAATACATGTTTTAAGTTCCTCTGGGTCCAAATAACCAATCTCCACAAAATGTTCTGGATGTGTTTTGTCTCTGAACAGACTAGCAAAAATGAAAAGTCACACGAAACTGGAATTACGTATTTAAGGTAAATATACGGCTGGGGTGTTACAGTAACTTTTTCGTTAATGTCACCTAACCGTAAGTGTTCACTTTATATAACCAATTTTAATAAAAATCGACATATAAATGTCAAATGGTCTTTAATATTGGCTAGGTCTTATCCTCATTGAAGTTGCCTAAAAAAGCTTAAGTGCCCAATCTCTTCCTCTGGACTATCTTTATTTTAGTTAATTAACCGTCTCTCATTATTAGTACTAATAAAAGAAAAGGCCAATATAAACAATGAAAGAATTTTATAACTGACAAAGGCCGAAAAAAAAAGGAAAAATATTTTTTTCTTGTTGAAAATGAATTACCAGAAACGATAGTATATTATAAACATATAATATATCATTGGAAAGCTGAGGATTAAAAAAAATAATATCTGACACGTCGTAAAAGATAATGGAGAGTAACGAAAAAATTATAAATAATAATTTCTGAAAACTAATATTATTTAACGTAAACCAAACGTTTCCATAGAAACTAAATGAAAGCCCCTAAACAAAAGAAAAATTGTATGATAAACAACCTTACTTAGGTTATTCATATTTTTTTGTTAATTTTTTTAATAATTATTATATTTAATCTGCATATGATTATTTATTTATTAAAACCCTTTTTAATCTCATAGTCTTTTATTGTGCATTTAAAACATTTCGGTTCCAAGAGCAATTTTCAAAAATAATTTTTCTTTAAAAAAAAATTAGTCCTATAAAAACATTATTTCTAAAATTTCTTAAAATAAATATTTATATAGATAATATACTACTTCATGGTAGTGTATATTATATTAAACATAAAATGTTTTGTTTTATTTTTATTTTTTTTCTGAAATTATACAAATTTTCTATTCTTCTCATTTTATCAAAAACTTCATCCTTAATTTCTTTCCGTTTTGATTAACATCATTTTATCTATACTAAGCTGTGGTCCAGACTCTTATTTAGTTCAATTTAATTGGTAAATTTTATAAAAATAAAAAAATAAAAGTTTAAATACATAGGAAAAGTATTAGAGATTTCAGAGATCAAAATAAATTGATACAGTGGTGAGGTTTTTGTTGCCTACCTTTTAATTCACAAATGTCTTCTTTAAGGTTTAGATCCATTAAAAATGCATCTCAAAAACTTTTTGTAATAGCCTCGTTTTGCTAGCAAATAATTGCTATTTAAAGCAGAGGAGTATGTGAAGATTGTGTGATGCGCGCTCCAGATTTTTTCGTGTATGTCATTTTTTTTTAATTAAAGAAACAGACTCATTTCAATAATGTTTTAGATCACAAAAATCACCGTAAATTTACAATCGATAATACCAGAGGGATGTTTAATAGTTCACTTTAAAGAAAATTATGTGCTCTTTTATTTGATGAGTCACATGAGAGAATTAAAACAAAACTCTTTTTGCTTATTTTCAAAATTTTGAATTTTGAAAATCTCTATATACTCTATAAAATTGATTTTTTTAAATAAATGCTATTAAACAAAAAATTGGTTAATTCTATGGCAACTTTCAAGATGCAGAAATAATGTGATCAGGAGATAAGCCTAGATATTCAGAAGGTAGTATATGATTTATTCTATAAAATATAATAGGGGACTTTTATATTTTTATATTCATCAAATGCCTTTAGATAGAGACATTCACTGTTGTTAATAAGAAAATCCAGTTCTTATTGAAAACAGAAAACCAAAAGTAGTGGGACCATGGTAAAGTTCCTAGGATCAAACAGCTAGATTGCATAAAAAACAGAAACTAATGACAAAGTATCAAGGCAGAAATGATGCTTCGTGGCGGACCCACGGAATGAAACTCGACCCTTCCACTCTGGTTGGAATAGGTTAGGTTGTACCTCTAGAACTACCCCCTCCCCCGTATACCAGAAATGGTGGGTAGGGAGTTATCCAATAAAAAACAGAGAGATTGTCTATATTCTAATGACAAAGTATCAAGGCAGAGATGATGCTTCGTGGCAGACCCACGGAATGAAACTCGACCCTCCCATTCTGGTTGGAATAGGTTAGGTTGTACCTCTAGAACTACCCCCTCTCCCGTATACCAGAAATGGTGGGTAGGGAGTTATCCAATAAAAAACAGAGAGATTGTCTATATTCTAATGACAAAGTATCAAGGCAGAGATGATGCTTCGTGGCAGACCCACGGAATGAAACTCGACCCTCCCATTCTGGTTAGAATACGTTAGGTTGCACCTCTAGAACAACCCCTCCCCTTTCCATCCATATTTATTTAAGCATTGATATTAAAGAATTCAATAAGTAGATATGCCCAAATCTTTTATTTTTCAGGTGTTTTGTTTCCTCCCTGATGAGTAAATTTTCCATATAAATCCATCAGATCAATCTTAAAGTCACCATAAATCGCTCTCCATTACTCCTGTATTCAATCGATTGAAGAATTCCATCGGTAGCATTAGTGCTGAGCTTAGGAACTTTTCCTACTCCGTACTGCCACTAGCCTATGATCTTTCCTTTCTATAGTCAGCAATAGATAGTTACACAATTTCCTAAACCAGTATTTGTACATTTGTCTTATATAAATGTACTTATATAAATCTTTTCTAAATTTTGTTGGACGCCTTCTCTGTTTTAATTCATGATTATTATTCGATCAAGAATTAAAATTAATACAATAAATTAATTTACAGAAAGCTCAGCAGATCTGTCGGGAAATATCAAAGTGAGGATTGACGAAAACTCGAGCAAATGAAAAACTATTACCCGGGATGATACAATTTAAGAGTGGAATCAAAGGCAGATTACTTGTCCGAAAGGTGGCATCTTGAGAAAGTATTTCTCTATCGTCCATTCACGTTTGGAATTCAAATGAGCCTTCCCACAAGTAATGGATCTTACAATTTCTCACAGTATATGGCCTTGGAAAAAACATCAATCCCATATTTTATCCGCCATTAAGTCACTAAAGGCCAAATCACTGAGAAATACTGGTGTCTACATCCTCACAGAGAACTATTTCACTCAGCTAGTCACAGAAGGAAACTACTCACACTACAAGAATATGTGTACGGGTGGAAGGCAGCTGTAGGCCTAGCCCAATTCAACCTCTCAAGAAGAGTACCTCAATCTCCTGGAAGACCACCAGAATGAGTGGAGAAAGGAGTTAAAGAGTAGATCAAACATTTATGAATATTTATGCTGTGTACACAGCTGATTTTAATATGCAAATGGGTTTTATTGTAGGAATGGAATGTTATGTATTCGTGTTTAACAAACCAGCACTGCCAAACCCGTATTGTCTAAACGCAGGGTTTATATAAATGTATCGATTAAAGGGGCATAGTACTCCTTTCTGTAGTCTACAAGATAATGACCGATATCTTGCTAAACCTAACATATTCTTATAACGGAAATATAATGAGCGACATCAAGCCGGATTCAGAAGAAGTTGCACCCTAGCCTAGATTTTCATTCTAAAAGAAGTGCTTGAAAAAGGATGGGAAATATCTCAGGAAATGCATACCTTATTGATCGATTTGAAAGCAGCATACGATTACGCAACTTTGAGGGATCTGTTAAGACACTTATAAGAAAAATAGAGTAAATCGGTCTACAAGAAAATTAATATAAATAAAATATATGATAGACGAAAATTCCAACCCAAAAACAGGATCTAGGTAGAAAAGAAATCGTTCTTGAAAGACAAATTAAAATACTTCTTTTCCACTATAACCTTAATGATGGTCAACAGTCAACCAACGTACAACAAGCGCAAACAGAGCTTTCTTCTCTGTGTGAAAAGTATTGAGATTCCGAAAACAATGGTATGCAATGTAAAGAAAGTATTAAATGATTTGATAGAAATATTCTCCACAAGATAAAGGGAGCAACCTGGTCATAGAATACTAACATATGGAGGAGACCGACCAATTACCAAGACCTTTACACAACAATAAATGCCTTAGTATGGGCCCTTTATTTATTTTTTTTATTTTTAGGACCTTAAAAATAAACTTCCATGGGTAAATTTAATTAAATTCTATTTATACTAATGTACGAAGGTTCTTGATAGAAATTTTAAAAAACAGGTGTTTCTTTGGAACTATATCGATTGTATATGTTCATGAAAAATGCATATTTTTCTCATCTCTAGAACAAGATTTAATTTACAACGTTTTTCAAATTTCTTTCTTTTAATACCTCCTCAAAAATGGTCGATTAAAGACAGAGCAGCTAATTTCGAACGAAATTTTATATTTAGATTGAGTAAAAATATTTTTCCCTGATTTTTAATTACTTTTATCTTAAATCTGTCAGGAAAATGCGTTATTGTAATAATATTATGATATTAGTTTTTTAAATACATTGACTGAATTACTGTCACTAAAATCAATTTCTATTGAGGGGGGGAGAATAGTAAAATTAAGCTTGTCTCTCTGTGGAAATAATAAGAATAATTCTGTCCTGTCCTTAAGTCCAATTATTCTAAGTTAATTTATCAGAGAATGTCTCACAGAATGGGTTCAACAGACATGAAGATTGTTTTCATTGTCTAAACTTTCAATGATGATAAGATTTTCTCTATTTTTATTTGTTTGAAACAACAATGATTATTTGAATTATGTAATAATTCCTCTAATAAAAACAACAGATAAATTAATGAGTGATGATTTTAAAATTGGAAGGAATTTTATCTCAAGAGCAGTGGGATTTGGTGTGACGTTATCAAGATATATACTCGGTGACCTAGAAACTGCCGTGCTGTGAAATTACTGTCAGTTCCTGGCACTCTTCTACCCGGGCTACATCTCCTTTTGCTGATAACTAGCGTTTTTATTTTGTCCCAAATTTCTCCTTTCAATTATATCCAACATGATGAACTCAGGGTTAGTACTAAACATCATGAATTGATAATTTATTTTGTTGTGATTGTGTGCATTATAAACTTTCCTTCAAGAAGATATTTAAATATATCATTTATTGAACAGAAAACTGGCAGGGAAAACCCTTTTCATTACTGGAGCTAGCCGAGGCATTGGTAAAGCTATAGCTCTGAAAGCTGCGAAGGATGGAGCCAATGTTGTTATTGCTGCGAAGACTGCTGACCCTCACCCAAAATTGCCAGGAACCATCTTCACTGCTGCCAAAGAAGGTGAGTGTAATGCTTTCTGCCTAGAAGAAGTAAATAAGTAACATTTGAGTAGTCTTATCTGTGTAAGAAAGGATTCGATTATATATCACTCGCAAACTGATTACCCTTTATCACCATTTGCAACTGACTCTAATGCTTATTATTATGTTTCATCCCTTAATAAAATATCCATTACAGCTTTAAATTTTACAAGTCACGTAAACTACTTAGCTCTTCATAATAATTTTTGAACTATAATATTCTATGACACATTATCCTATTTTTATTATTCATATTTTTTTCAGAATTATTTACTCAGTTATTTTTAAAGATTTAATATTTTAAATGACTCAAATATAAATGTATTAAAAAATTGGTTGTATTTTTAAAGACAGTAAAGATAGGTACTTTCCAATCTTTCTATTTTCATCTGCCTACTTACTTCTACACCTGTTCATCAATGCCAGGATTAGAAAATCATTTGGAACAGTTAAATCTTTCATTAACTATTTAACTTATTATTCATATTTTATGAATTAATTATTCTGAAGGTTGCATTTTTATTTATTTATTAATATTTTAATGATTTAATTACTGTTTATATTTTTTTTTCAAACGCATTTTATTTAAATTAAATATTTTTATATCTTGTTTCAAATTTTTCCTTAATAGATTACTTAAGTTATTCAGTCATCATCTTGAAAGCTCCTTAGTAATGCAAGAATCTATCTTTCATTTATTTAAATTTATTAATGATCTGCTTTTGTTTACAGCTCTTTACTATCTTTGAGTACTCTTAATAATGTGATGAAAAGAAATAATTTTAGAATTCATGAAAATATAAATAAAATCCTTCAAGTTTTCATACATAATTTATTGAATTATGTAAACACTTCTCCTTGATAACGTAGTGAACTCAATTGTTCTTTTTCTTCTAATTAAATTACTTTTTCTTGTATATATATTTTTTTTATTAGTAGCTTAAAACTGATTGTTTAATTGTTAATTTTAAAATTAATTATTTCTTTAATAATTGTTTGCTGATCTATTTCATTTTATTAAGAAAAATGACTAAATACTGGAAAATTGACAATTTGTATAGTTCATAATGTCAAGGAGAAACATTCGAGTTAATGGGGTGTATAGTATATACAGGGTTTCTCAGTTCTTAATAATCAAACTCTAAAGGATGATTCTAGACAAAATTTCCAAAAAAAAAAAAGTTCATGTGATGTATGAGCCAATTCTGAATGAAAAAGGAGTTAAGGCCTTTTTCAAGGTGGGCACAGTTTTTATTGAATAAGAAGGAATTGCTCAAAAACTCTTCAAAATATTTAAATTATAAGTAGACAAAAGTTTCTTTGAGAAAACAGTGATTAAATTTAGTAAAGTTTTCCGGAGGTCTAATATGACTGCTGTACTTTTGCATATCTCTCTAATCCCGGTGCATTAAATAATTTGGCGTAATGGTAGGCTTTGACCTCCTGAAAATCCCTTTTGTCGTTGACCTTAGCAAATTTAATTTACTTACTTTTTTCTCAACTTACAGTTTTCCCCCAAAAAATTATCTATTTTATGATGGTTTACTTAGAATTTAATTATTTTGGACAGTTTCTGAGCATTTCCTTCTTATTCATTAAAAAACTGAATATCTTAAGAAAAAACTTAAATTGGTCTTATCTCCTTTTCCATTTGGAATGGGCCCATGTATCAAATGAACTTTTTTGTTGAAAATTATGTCTAGAATCACCCCTCCTATTAAGAAGTGAGATAAGCTGTTTAAGTTAATGAGGTTTACAGCATTCATATTTCTGTAAATAGAATCAGATAATAAGTCATTAGACCCTTATTATAAGTTTTAAAAAAAATTATAATGTTATTGTTTGTTGTGTCTATTTAAATCTCGAAACATTGATATTCAATTATTCTTCTATTTCTTAACAGTTGAAGAAGCTGGAGGTAAAGCATTACCTTGTGTTGTTGATGTCCGTGATGAGGGGCAGATACAAAGTGCTGTTGACAACGCTGTCAAGAAATTCGGTGGCATTGACATTTTGGTCAACAACGCCAGTGCTGTTTCTCTGTCACCTACATTGAAGACAGATATGAAGCGTTATGACCTCATGAACAACATCAATACAAGGGGAACATTTTTGGTGTAAGTCCACTACAATATTTATTCAATACTTTGAGTAATAAATCATTTGATAGACTTAATAATCAAAGCTAATTTCATTATAGTGTTTACTACGATAATTATTAATCTATTGTACCATATTTAACAACTTGAATGAGCAATATAATATGACATTGATTTCCAATTACCTTTTGCACTAATTGGATAAAAAAACATTAAAATTTTGATGGAATAATAATTTATATGAATTAGATATTTTTGTAGTTTAATGTTATGTCAGTAATTGATGAGCCTAATCTATTATGAGTAGACATTCAGTATTTATTTGACTAAATGCAACATATTAAATTATTTTTTCCACTATAGGTAGATATTTTCACAAACATTTATAACTTCTGTAGATAGCCTTGAGGTGACCTTTCTTAACTTGATCAATTAACAGTTTAATGAATTAGTAATTAGCTTGCTCTACAGGAAAATACCTCTTCAGTAAAGCAATAAGACTCAGCTGTTCATAAACTAATACTATCCTACTATTGTATTCTTTGAGTTGATGCCAAAGAACAGAATCCTTTTGTTTTAGTTTTCTCATTTATTTAGAGTAGAGTATAAAATACAGACCTGGATAATAACTTCATTAGTATGGCAATATTAACAACCAAAAAATTTTAAAACAATTCCACTAAACGTGTTTATTTTTATTTTTATTACCCAAGGACTTACGAGCTATTCTCCTTTGTTTACCTAAATTATAAATTATAAAGGTTTTAATTTTTGTACTCGATAATAAATATCAGTAATAAAATTTTTAAAAACTCGATTGACGTATTATAAATATCTCATTGTATCCATGACACTTGAAAGACTTTCTGCAAGAATAGAATTTTATCGAGTCTTGATATCTTTGTCAAAATCTTTACAACACAATTATATTGTGTCTCAATATTGAAATCTCCTACTTTTTTCAATATTGCTTCTATTGTAGTTTTAATATGATTTTATGTTTCCAAATGCGCAATTGTCATTTATCCAAGAAATTCCTTTTCGTTTGATACCTCATTCATCAAAATGAGCATGAAGAGGGATCTATAATTATGGATTTGATAATATTATTTAACTTTGATTGATTTTTTTTCTTAATATTTAATTGTTATGTAAATTGTTGAACATGAATTAGTATATAAAACCTTATTTTATTGACTCAAGTCTCTTATAGTAACTTGTTACTATATTCTTAAGAAATCTGTGTCCTTCTTATTACCATTCTATAGTCTGTAGATAAGGAAAATAGGTTAGAATAGGAAAAGAAATGTAAAACCTATTTCTAGTTCATAGAAAAAAAAATTGACAGTTAGTATTATTGTTGGAGGCCTGGTGTAAATATGTTTTCATATCTCTGATAAGTTGGAAGGTCAGTTTTCTTTATCTTCCTCGGTCTAATCTCAAGAAATATGTTTATGTTAACAGTAGTCTTTTTTTTTATATTCACAGATGCTTTTTGTATATATGTATTTTTTTTATTATGTATTCTTCTTTCCCTTGTTTCTTTTAGTACATCGTTAAATAATTTTTTACTCATCTCAGACCTTTCAAAATATTGATCATAATCCTTTAGTTAATTGTTTACTTCCTCAAATGTAAAAACTTTTAGTTAGACTAGGTTTAAACAGATATTTTAAAAATATTCCTCTGACAAAAAAAATATTTCTGAATTGTAAATTTACTGTTTATTTTATCCGCTAGCCACTTAAATCGTTATGATTCAGTTGTTTAATGTACCAAAGTTCAATGGCCATTGAACTTAATCTGTCAACGACAGTAATTTCACCATTGTCTCGTTACGTTTCCTGTTGTCAAACATGACGTAATACACTGTGATAAATATTTACTGATCAAATAAAGTGAGATGCGTTGTCTGCATCAATATTTCATTAAGCATTATTATTACGTATCGTTGTCAAAATCAGACCTTTGAAGAATAGATTTCTTCATTTTCCTTAGCAAAGTTTAAGTTAATATTAAGGATGGTCTTTTTAAATTATTTAAACTTTCCCATCAAACTCCAATATAATATTAAAAAGTATTATTCAGTTTCTTAAAATGTCTGGTGTCTGCTCAGATAAGTTTCTTTACCATCTTTGTACGTAATTTATTTATCTGTCTAACATACCTATGGAACCTTCTAACCAGGAGACGTACATGTCTAAAATACTTTTTAAATATGGATACATAAGTTCAATATGCTTTGCTGCTAGTTTTGATCTAATTTAAACTTCTTTTTTTTTTTTTCGTTCTGTAGGGAATTTACATTGCAACTGAATACATATATAAATTAAAATAGGGTGTGGATAGCTTAGCAAGTAAAGCACTGTGCTTCTATTATCAAGAGTCCAGATTTAAGTCTGCCTATGGCAGATTATTATTTATTCCATATTATATCACTCATAGATTGATTTTGGAGGTATTAGACCCTTTGTATTGTATTCCATAAAGAATATATTTTTTGAGTTATGCCAAAATGAAATTTTCTTTTTGTTATAACTTCCTTCATCTGTTTAAAAGATTTTAAGGAGAATACTTCATGATAATTTCATCAACATTATTGAAGCCATTTTGGAGCTACGATCTTTGGGCTATTGTTTTAATCATATTGTAATATTGATATGGTTAAAGCAATTAATGAATTAATATACATATATGCTACTAATTATAATTATATAATACATATTTATTTATTTTTTTATTGGTTATTAATAGATCTTCGTTTCTCTCTCCTTTAATAACTATAAACATATTATAAAATATCTTTTTTTTTTTTAAATAATAAAATACCAATTCTGTAAAGAAAAAAATAATAATAACAACAGTGAAATTGGTGCCAACTTCAGAATGCAATGAACGAGATTTAGGTGCCAAAAGTATCTTTTGCCAAGGTGATGTATTTTTGGTCTTTTGGTCCTATTTTGGTATGCTTTTTAAATCTCCTGTATTTTTCAAGTCATTTTTGTCAGGTCTATTTATGGCATGACATTAGAATGAGTAATTAGTAAACAATTATAAATTTGTTGATACTTTTTTCTATCCATAACTTCAGTTTTAAAACAGGTTATATAAATTTTTGAAATAAAAAATTCTTATATTTTGAAAAAGGTAATTCATAAAAAAATTCTTATATTTTAAAAATATAGAAATAAAGAAAATTATATATTAATGACTTAATTTTAGTTTGAAAATTTGTTGGGTATAGATGGATTTATAGTTTTTTTATTAGTGTGTTTAAAATAGAAAATTTTATAATGTTTTTTTAAGGGATAACTTTTATTTATTATTATTAGTTGACTCGTGTGAATAATTTGCATAGGATATTGGTCTGTGAATAAATGACAATAATATAAACAAATCAGTAAACGTAATTTATTATGAGAGGGAGGCATCAAGTTTTTTTTGCTCGCTCGACTACAATAGCTCATTCAAAATAATATTCCAAACAGGTATACAAATTACAATAGTCTGTACCTTTGGTAATAATAGTCTCCTTTAGATATTTTTTTGTTTTTTAGGGAATTTAGAAATCTTTCTTATTATGTGTATAAACACACGAATAAACATGTTTCGCAGATGTTCCTTATATTTGGAATGAATTAGAAAACAAGATAGCTATCTAATGTGAGGGTTCTCATTTGAGTATACTAATTTAAAGAAAACTTTCAGTACTTCATCATAAACAATATAAAATTTGTTTTTGTCTCTGTGGTATGAATATATTCCAATTTTCTCTGCAACAAGAGGAATAATTGTTTTGATTTTTCGCTTCAGATCAAAGACATGCCTGCCTCACCTGAAAAAGAGTTCAAATGGGCACATATTGAATTTGAGCCCTCCTCTCAACATGGATCCATTTTGGTTCAAGGATCATGTTGCCTACACGATAGCAAAGTACGGGATGTCGATGTGTGCCATCGGCATGGCAGAGGAGTTCAAGAGTGATGGTGTAGCCGTCAACGCGCTCTGGCCTAAGACAAGTAAGATGGTGTGGTAGTTTGATAAGTTTTTTTTTTTTTACTTCTAATGATTTTAAAGTTTTGATTTGGTTTCTTTTTCTTCTTTCTTCTTGCACGCTTCTATTTATCAATGTGTGAACTTTACATACTCAATATTTCTGATTAAAATTAACAAAAATTATTTAATTTAGATTGATAGGTGACTTCAGCCTTGATAAACTTGATATCAATTATATTCCTTCTCCATTTCTATTCAGATAGCTGTTTGGAATAGATCCTTGCCCTGTCTTTTCTCAAATCTACATTAGGAAAATCTCATACTACATCATATTTACATTAACCATAATGCAAACTGTTCTTAAGTTTTAAGTCAATGATGTTCCTTATAATTGTTTTTTAAGCTATTTCATCAATCCAATCTTATAGAGAAATGATTCCTTCTAAGCCTAAGCCCTGAAAATGTCTCATTATCCAATAGGCTAATAGCATCAATTTTTATTTATCAGTGAAGATTAGATTATAACAATAAAAACACAAAGGTTCCCGATTTTCCCTAAGCATATTTTCTAAAATAATGAGCCTTAAAGAAAAGTGGTAGGGACAGAGCGACATCATGAGTAGATCATAAAAATCAATGTTTAGATCTAAAAAAGATCTTGAATCATTTATTAATAATAGTATATAGTATACAATAACCTTTGCAGAGTTTAATCATGATAAACCTGAGTAATAACATTAAATCACAATGTTTGAAAATATTTAAAAATCGCGATATCTCTACTAATAGTGCTTCGATTTCGATGTAACTTCTTTTGTTTTTTAGGCAATTTAAATACCTTTGAAACATCTTATCACAATATTCCCAAAAAAGTGTATACTTTTTGAGTTATTTGGAATTTAATTTTACCATCCCTCGTAACTTTTTTTCCAGCTTTTTTTTCGTTGAAGTATGTTATGTAGATGAACTTAAAGGGTGTCGAGAAAATGACTTTAGCGAAGTTTCATTGAAATTGGTACATTCGTTTAGGCGCTACAGTCTATAGCAATGCAGGTTTTTCTGCATTTTTTTTTTCTCCTTCATTAACTTATCAAATTCTTTCAAAAGTTATATTTAGCATTTTTTCATTACTTGGAATAATGTGAACTGATTAAATTTTTAAAATAAACCATATTAAAGGTACTTTAGAGGAAGATGTATATGAACATTGGGCATTTAAGCCCTGTAAAGTGACATCAATGGGGATAAGACCTGATTGATATTAAAGACCACTTAATTATACAATGATACACCAAGTTTAATCAAAATCGTTAGAGCAGTTTTGGAGAACATTGTGAAAATGTGTTTCAGCGTTGATATAAAGTGGCACTTCCAGTTAGCCGATTTTAAGGAAAAAAAATAAAAATTTTAAGAATTAACAATACTTAATTACAAAAAAGAAAAGAGTAAGTTCCTAAACTCAGCACTAATTCCATCAATCCATCACTTTTTTTTTTTTCATTGAATTTATATAAGTAGATATTTAGTTTAACTTAAAATCATACATAATAATTATTGAATGTATTCAATTGAATCAATCTCTGAGACCCCAAGAATAAATCTTTGTTCAAAATTGTAAAATAGATTTGTTTTAGTGCGAAATCATAAAAATTTATAGAATTTTGTGTTTTAGTTCTACTCAAGATCGGAAAAGATCTGTTGAGAACTCTTTTTTTCCTTATAAACAAAAAAAAAAAAGTAAATCCTTAAAATCCGAGCCCTATTTTTGAGAGTGGAGGCATGGCAGTCAGATACTGCCTGTATCTAGGTCACACTGTTGGATGTCTTATAATTTCTTTGCTTACAATATTGTTTCCAGCTTCAAAACTTCCATTGAAGAAATAACTCCCTGTTTTTACTTTTACGCTGTTGTCATATTTTATTAAGGTTATAATACACGCATGTTTATAAAGTAGAACTGAGACCCAGGCCATACCCTCACTCCCCACCACAAACACTCTAGTATTCTAAGTTTTTAGTAAAATATGAACCTTACCCTCTAGTAACCACTTCTTGAGTCTATTATTACTCTTAATTGGTCTTGTGATAGTTGATTATAATAGAATCCTATAGTAAATTTTTTTTTTTTTTTTTTTTTTTTGTATTTTTTTGTTTTTGCTGAAGTTTTAAGAGATGTGGCTTTTGTTATGCAGTATATATTATTGCTTTTTGTAGAAAATTTTATTTTCTTGTGTCAATTAATATTTATAAATTAGTTTCTTATAGCAGCTGATTATGTCTGTACATTGTCAAATTATTAATAGTGCTATTTGATGTTTCTTATTTGTCTTCATATTATGTTATTTTAAGTTTGTGCATATATTATTAGACTTATAGTGCTTTGAAAAAATGTTTACAATCATTTCAGGTTTAGAATAGCTCATAAACATCATATTAGTGACTTATAAGAATGTATTTTACTTTATTTTTTCATTTACATCAATCTTTAAATATCAATCAGACCTAATCTTTTATCTCTCAAAATAAATAGCTAATGTCAAGAGAAAATGATATATTTTATGATATACTAGTCAATCTTTTATGTATATTTGTTTTTAAATTCATCTGAAATACCTTCTTTTTCTAAAGAAAAATTTTCTTGATCTTTTCCTTGACGCAATTAGCTTTGAGAGCACAGTTTAAATATTTCGTGTGGATTCAGCTATCCAGACTGCTGCCATCTCAATGCTGATGGGAGATGATTCTGACAAAGGTCGTAAACCTGAGATTGTCGCAGACGCAGCTTATGTCATCCTGTGCCGCAGTTCGCGGTCGGTCACAGGGCAGTTCCTAATCGACGAAGATGTTTTGAGAGAGGCAGGAATGACCGAGGAACAACTTGACAAATATGCCTGCATTCCAGGTTCGTAATCGACTAAAGATTGTTTACACCGTTATATATGATGGTGTATGCTGTTTTTGAAGTGTGGATTTTTGAGAGCATTGAGAAAGAATCTCCTTGGTAAATATATTATAATTTAAGCTATGTTGTGACTTCTTGCATATTCCGTTCCTCTAAGTGGTTATATTTACTTTAAATTAGTAAAGTATGGAAACAGATATAAATGACCTCTTCTTGCTACTACATTAACTGAAAATGTTTTATAATCATGTTGATAATTGTGTTAAGGTTTTAAAAAATAGAACTCATTTCTATTTTAAAGGGTAACAATGGAAAGGTGCTAATAAATTACTACAATGCCATGGTTTATAACTAAATAATAAAATACCAAGTGTGTAAATATGAAACTCAAAGTCATTTATAGATGGCTCTAGAAAGAGAACTACAATAATAATGCTCGACTGCTCAACTGTGTTGAGTTGCTAAATCACACAGCATACTCAATCAGTCATCAGATAATATGTTTAAAAAGTATAAGAGAACGTTAGATGGGATCACTGCAACAGCTAATATACCTATAACAGTATGCAGGATTGAATAAGCGAAAGCCAAGGTATATGTGGTGATAAAGGATTCCCAAAAAGTTTAAAATAATAGTTTCTTCCATAATCTGCATCTGCTCCCTTCCAACATCGAGCCACTGTAAGAAATTACTTGTAATAAGAACTCACTTTAACTGAGAATTCTCTCTAGCAGAATTCATCTGTATACTATTGCTTTAAGTAATGTATGCATTTCTTATAGACATCCTGCTTCTCTTACTGTACCCCCATATCTTGATCCTGATCGTTCGTTTCAAATCTGATCATGGGATTCACTCATAATGCCTCCTTTTCCGTCACATTGAACACTAAAGTGTCGACGAACCTAGTTAAACCTTCCGCATCCAGGCAATAAAATCAAGGAAGCATCTATATTTCTTCATTTGAAAAATTACCATAGTTACCGCTAAATTGTATTAATGGTACCATTTTCTTTCTTTGACAATTAATGGTTTTCAACTCACATCAAAACAAGTTTAAAATAACAGCATTGTTTTAATAGTCTCAAATATGTCTAGTTAATTTTCTGTCACCATTTTAAGAAAATGCTTCAGAATCACATTAAATGCTTGTCGAAACTTACTGTGATCATACTTTTGGTTTATCACAGTGCTTTGAATAGTTTTAAAAATTCAAAAGTGTCAATTTTGACGTGAGAAATGAAGAACATGGAAGACCACAATCAGAAAGGTGCCTCCTAATCTATAATTATCTTTAGTATCCTATTAATTTCCCATTTGTCTCACATGGCCGTACCATCTGAGCCTCCTTTTTTCAATTGCTTCTAGGATATTTTGCTTTATTTCTAATCTCTTCCTTACAGTGGCATTTCTTACCCTTTCAATTATTGATTTCCTAGCAGCTCTCCTCCAAAAATCCATTTCAACTAAAAGGAATTTTTTGTCCTGGGTCATACTGAGGGAAAAATATTGCTGCTCCAGAATAAAGAATGAAGTATTTTTTTATTTCTTCATCTGTTCTCCCATTATTTTCAATTCATTCATTCATTCATTGCTGGGCTCTACAGTCCTTGAAGAACCATGTCCTCTGCTAACATCTTCTTCAACACTTCTTTCAATTAAGGATACCAAATAATAAAATTTTTCACTTTAATTAAGTGAGATGACAAATTTAATTAGGTTGAGAACCCATCTTGGCAATGAATTCTTAAATTTCAGAAAAATAAAGGGGATACCAAATTGTGAGTTCTGTGACAAAGTCAAGGATCCATTACATTTAGCGATATTCTGTAAGCATTTTAGAAATGAGAGGAGAAAATATATCAAAGCATTGGTACTCAATATTTCTAAAACAATAAAAGAGAAAGATCGAGAAGGACACAATCAACTTAGAAAATTCATTGTTACAAAATAAAAATACAATTACAGCTTTAATGATTCCAAAAACATAAATTTCTGTCAAAAACGGATTTTATTGTCACAATAAAAAAAAATAAAATAAAAGAAGGCTTCATCAAACACAGCATAACCAGCAAAGGAAACGATTTAGGCATTCATTTCGGAAATATTAATGCATGTGACTCACCAAACTTGGCTCCGGCCGACTACTATTTATTTACATCAATAAGGCACTGTTTTGCCATAAAAGAATAACAATTTTTCTGACATGCGGCATTCATAAATTGCCAGAGAGATGGTCAAAATGTATCGCTAACAATGGGCAATATTTCAACTAAAATTTTTATTTTTATTGAACATTAATTTTCTATATAAAAATTCCAGTTTCATATTTACATACATGGTATAAATGTATGTTATTATAATTTGTATTAATTGATAAATTTTAACTTAATTTTACTAAGTTCTCAAAACTATTATAAGTAACACGCAAATTACAAGGTCATTTTATCGAAAAAATATATATCATTAATTATATCAAACAATAATAATATTGGATAATTGTCAAATATATCGAAATATCAATATTTCAGATCTCAATGACATTAATCTTTAAAAGAAACGGAATCGGATTAATATTTAGTTGAAGTCTTAGATTTTAATATCAAAAATTAATATTTATATATTTTTTATTGTGTCAGTTTATTAATATTTGTCAATGAAGAGAAAAAAAGACATATTTCATGGGGCTAAAAATAGAAAAATCAATTAAATAGTTCAAGCATGAAAAATCAATAATAAATGAATTTCTACAAGCAAATAAAAATATTAACGATGGTAGATTGATTGTTGACTGTAGTAAAAAATTGAAAAGAAATATGTTCGAGTTTTCTGTCAAAATAAAAAGTAAAAATAAATAAATATATTTATTTTTATTCTCTTTGTGCCGTCGTTTCGGCCTAGAATTCAGGACTAAGCAAATACAAGATAATGTATAATATAAATAATGAGTAATGATATAAAAATTAAGGATATATGAGATAACAGCAACAATACTAACCAAAGAAACTTATGTAATGGAACAAATTTAGGTAGTTATAAAATAAAAATAATAAATTGATGAAGTAGACGATAATAAAATAATGGTAACAAAGTTAGGAATTTATGAAATCGATCACCCGTTAATCAATTAAATTATATATATATCAAACTGTTATTATATATTTTATTATTGTTTACTTCATCACTTTATTACCTTTATTTTACAAATTCCTAAATTTTGTTCCAATATATATCTAACTGTTGCTGTTATCTTATATATCTTAACTTCACTACTGCTATTTTATAAGTCTCTAGTTTGTTACTGTTACTTTATACTTCCTTAATTTATATACCATTACTCATTATTACATATCCTTGATGAAAACCTTAGTCTTACGCTGAAACGTTGGCACAAATGGAATAAAAATAAATATATTTATTTATTTTCACTTTGTATTTTAACTGAAAACTCCAATAAACTTCTCTTGAATTAACAATATTAACATTTATTATTTTTAAAAAGCATATTACTGAGAACTAAAGAAACTTTAATTAACTCTCAACAAAAAGCAAAAAATTAATTTGAATTAATAATGACTGACACCTATATAAAGAACTTACATTTTCAGTATAAACAAAAAACCTATTACTAAAATATTTTTTAGTAGAGAAACATTATTTCTCAGCTATTGTGTTTAAAACCGTGATAAGATAAGGTTACATGCAATAAACAGTGAGAAGATTTTACTTGTAGACATTTTAAAATTTATTTTATTATTTTTTTAGGGAGGGGAAAATATTTTTTCAACAGTCAAATTTTAATATTGATTTAACAATATTTTTCCAGCATCTCTGATGAATAATAAAAGTGGCTCGTCTAAGCTTGTCAGATTTTAGCATAATTATTTATATTATGGTTTTGATCAAACCATAATTTTTTTTTTAAATGAATAATTGATATAAACACAGGTTCATTCCTCCCATTGACTACTCATTATTTATCTATTATGTAATGGTTTATCTTAATTGTTCTTTCTATAAAAACCAGACACCCTTGATAAACGATTTCGAAATAATATATTAATGTCTTATCAATGATATTGAGTCTGATTTTATCTCAAGTTCTTTAATCTCAAAGCAATTTATAAATATAGTCTGCTTGCGCATTACTATACTTTTTTTTATGCTTATAAATGTGGCTGTGAATGAATTTCAAACAAATAATATTATTTTAGTCCTCTATTATATGATACTCAGTCAATTCTCAATTACTCAGAGCTAAAATAGTTTGTTATGGTGGAGAAATATCCGACTGTTTATAGTATGGTAATATGGTTATATGTAGATAATATGGGGAAATGAGAAGTGATTTGTTGTTTGGAGCCACATTGTAAAACATAAAAAAAAAAGATATATATTTTATTTTTTGCAGATGTTTCATTATTAAGTATGTGCATATTGGGATTAAAGCAGTAAGCAGTATTTTCAGGGGTTGAAATTTTTTAGGAAAAAATGTTTTTAAAATAGTAAAAATAAATATACTTATTTATTTTTATTTTTGCCGACATTTCGGGCCTAAAGTTCAGGCCTTCATCAGGGCCAAGAGAAAACCAGATAACAATAGGTATGAGAAACTATAAACATTAAATATTAAAACAATTAATATTTAGGTAAAAGGTATAGTCTAAAAAATATAGGTAGAATAATAACTGTAACAGAGAACTAAGAAATAAATAATAACGGCAACAAAGTAGAAACTTATGAAATAAACTTCACCAAAATAAGGTAACATAAGAAATGAAAAATTATTGAACGAAAAGTAATGGAATTTATGAGATTCCGGTTTGCCAAAAATGTTGCTGTAGCATCCCAGTCTTATAAAAATACACAATTTCAGTTTCATGGGACATACCATTTTGTGGGACTTGGTTAGTTGGACTCAGGGGACCTCAAAACCTTTATTTCTGTTGAAAAAAAATATTCGAAAATTTCATGAATGCAATACTTATCCTTAATATTATTAATTATATAGGTAAGTGAAAGTTGGGGGACGGGGTGGCCGAATGGGCTAAAGCGTGTGCACAGCACCGCTAGTTGCTCAGTAACCGGATAACAGAGATTTGAGATGATTTAAAAAGTACGAGTTCGCGTCCTGGTGCCGAAGGGGATTTTAAATTCCCTGCCCTCACCCTCCGGCCCGGCCCGTATAGCCTTAAAGGCGAGGTAGGGAAGAACAAATAAAAAAATAAAAAAAAAGTAAATGAAAGTTAAAAGAACCCTCAATTCATTTACTACTTGTCATTTCTCACCCCCTAAAATAGATCTGTAACTTGCATCTGGTATCTTATACCACTTTAATATCTACTTTTATTTAAATTTTTTTTTTGTTCAATTAATAGTAATTTTTTATATCTTGTTCTTTTTAGCCCTGATGAAGACCCACAACTTAGATTGAAATATAGAATATAAATAAATATGCACCAAAAAATTATCTGTAATTGCTGACCGAACTCCCTTCCTAACTATTCCTTTATATATTTTTTAGCATTTAGAATAATTACTAAAGATAAAGGTACCCTCATGAGGGAAATTTTCGAAAAACTTGATATTGTCAATATTGTTAATGCTAATTAAAAATTGTTATCATTATAATTAAAACTATATATCATCAATATAGCAAACTACTAGGGTGTATAAATATTTTAATAATTTATATTTGCCTGTGTGTGTTGCTTTTTTTGCATGATGAGTGTGTCTGTCTTCTCAGCTGAATCTTTCATGCATGTTTTTTTTCTCTAAACCTCTTTCTTCCTATTATTCTTATTATTTTATTTTATTTTTTATTATTATATTTTTTTTATGAAAACATCTTACCTGTTAAATTATGATAATTTCAAGAAAAGCTATTTTTAATTGCCTTTTTATTATATATATATATATATATATATATAAACATATTACTTTTATGCTAGTGAAAAAAAAGTTTAAAATCACTTTTGTATTTTTACTACGATTCAAGATAATTTATATCTTGCAATAGCCAATTCATACCAAACATTGCATTTTCATTATGAATAATTATTATCAATTATGAGTTGTGTTCGGATATGAGGAATTTTTTGTGTTTGTCTTGGAATGCCAGGCTTAAACTAGAAAATACTTAAAGATGTTTTTTGTAATTGCACACTAAAACACATCTATTCTATTTTACTCATTTCATTAAATTAACACATTATTATTTATAATTTCACGCTAAATTAAATTTGCAATTAAATCCGTTTTATTTAAACTTTTAAAAATATATGTAAAATACTTTTGTTCTGAGCCTGGGATTCAACAATCACTTTGATCCAACCAACCTTACCCATACTATAAAAATTAAAATAAAAAATAATTTAATTTTTAAATAACAAACTTAATTACATTGATAGGTTGTTAAGAAAATTGATGTCTACAAATATTTAAAATTGGTTTAGTAGATGAATGCCTTAAACCACATATTATGGCTTCTCGTAAGCAGATTTCATCCCACGTTTCATCTAGACCAAATGAGTCTTGAGTTTTGTTTAGAGGTGGAAGGCAACAAATACTACACCAATTTTAAATATTTATAAATATCGATTTCGCTAACAATTTAACAAGGTGTTGAAGTAGGCATCCGTTTGGATATGGAGGGTTATTTCTGTGGTCATTTTTTTGTTTAAATAAATTATTCTTTATGTCTATATGATTTCTCAAATTTTTAATAATGTTTAATATCTTTTGCATATCTTAAAATTAATTTTTATGTTAAATGTTAAACAAAAAACTTCAAATCTGAGCCCTATTTGTTAGCGAAAAATAAATGCTGAAAAATCAACTTGAAAATCTTTGATAGAAAATTTCTAATTATTCATACGTAAATGTTGTATCATCATATTTACAGTGATGATATTAATTAATTTTTCAAATACAATTAGTTGTTCCCCTCATTGATTAATACACTTAATATCAACAATATAACAGTGTCAGTTTTAATTAGTCTACAATAAATTATCTTGATGTAGGTAACAAGGACTTATTCCCCGATTCCTTTTTGGATGCGAACAACTACAAGTCTATCTTCAAGAAGCACAGCCAGATGAAGGGTGCTAGCCAAAAGAGGATGATGAGTACTCAGGCAGGAGATGGTGGTATTGAGGGAATCTTCACTAATCTCAAAGGAAAACTCAATGCTGACATTGTCGGTGCCACGCAAGCCATCTTCCAGTTCAACCTCACAGCTGGTAAGTCTTCATTTTCATTGGCTATATTCATTTTTTTATATATCACTGATGTTATATAACATCTGAACTAAAGTTGTGAGTAATGGGGGGTAATCAACTATAGTAGTGGGGTCGAAATAACTTCACAGTAAAAAATAACTTACTCCTGGAAAATTGTATTCGCCATTATAACATGTTAACAGCAAAACCCATGTTATCAAAATCTCTCATTCACTCTTGAGTGTCAGTTAAGCAGCTTACCACTAACTAGAAAATTAGATGCCTCTAAATCAAGTGTTATATTTTCTCCAGTTTCAAAAACCATAGTTCTGATGAATTATACTAGGTCCGCATCAAAATATTTAAAAATCAATTTATCCAATCTCAATTTGTTCAACTCCAGTTATTTTAAAACCTCCTACTTTTTCAGTTACTTTTAATGTAATTTTAGTAAAGTTTTAAAGTTATGATTCATCCCTTCTCTATGAAATTCTCTTTCCGTAGATACCTCATTCTTTAAAGAACATAACTCCTGAGAGCCAGAAAAAGAATCTGTAAAACCATATTATATTTAGTGTAGATAAGTAGTATGTCAGATAGTGAATTAACAGGTTACAGGTATAACCTTACAGGTATAACAGGTATAACCTAATACCAAAACATGTTATCACTTGGTAGCTGTTACCCTTTAACTACTAACGACGGCTATAGTCATCGCAACTGAACATGTTACTGTTTCTATAGTCAGCACACCCCACTCCTGCCCTCAGTGCTATAGACATTTCACTGATTTTCCTTCTGTTTGTTAACGTCAAGTATAGCCGGTGTGATCTTGTTATACTCTACTGGTTTCCTAGTGAAATAAAGCTTCTAACTAGAGTCTACAGATGGCGTGAGGATTTATTTTATTTGTAGGATTCACGAAGGGGTATGGGTGACTCAACAGTTCTCTGGGTGTCTCGACCATTTTCATTATTATTTATGCATTCTTTGTGAAACAACCGTGTGTTCAACTGCTATGAGTTTTGTCACGAGTTCGCGTCCCGGTGCCGGGGGAGTCTTTTAAATCCCCGCTCACACTCCGTGGCCCGGGAAAATCCCGTATAGCCTTAACGGCGAGGAAGGGAAGGACCCCCAAAAAAAAAAAACTGCTATGAGTTTATAAAAATATTTAGTCCAGTTATTTTAGTTAGAAATTATATCAAATAAGATTAGCTTAGTTAGTTACGTGGTCGTATAGAATTAATTATTTTAGTTATTTTTAAGTAAAAAATTTGGTTTACTGATGCGGAAGCAGCTGAATTCATTACTACTGACGAAATAAATTTATAATATAAAAAAAAATATTTGGTGCTAAACCAAGGTAGAATGTCGCAATTATAAGGTCTTTCTTTATAATGCCAAATGTTTTGAAGAATACCTCACAAAATTAAATTATTAAATACATATTTAAATGTTTAAAAAATAAATATAAAAAGGTTTAATCTCTGCCAGATTTGGTCCATAGCCCGAATCAAAAAGGGGAAAAGAAACAATAAAATAAGGTTAAAAGATAGTAATAAGAGCCGGTAATAAAGGGTGGAAAGCAGGTAAAAAGTATGTAACACGGACGGGTAGGCGGCTTTCTTAGCACTGTGGAAGACTTAAAGCTCGTCACTCGCAGCAGCGAAAAGATTAATCCGTTATCAAAGTTTAACTATTTAGCCCATCACTAGGTAACTGCAGATATACTAATAAGGTATCAACTAATAATGTAAAAACCTGCTTACTTCTTACTAACATTTTATTTTTTTTATATTCCAATGTTGTAGATGGTAAAGAGGAAACATACCATATTGACCTGAGAAACGGAGAGGGAAGTGCTGGTAAAGGCAAGCCAGCTGACAAACCCGACGCCACGCTTACCATGAATGCTGATAATTTCCAAAAACTGTTCGCAGGTTTGTTCATATTACTTTAACTTTTAAAAGATTTAATGAGAACAAAAGTACATAAAGTTGTTAATGAATGCATGAAATCAGATTATTTTTTCTAAAAAAAAGTGCCACTTTTAGCTTTGGATAGAAAGACATTTTGTTTTTATATAACATAATACTTTTCAAATTAATTTACATGTATACATAGACAATAAAGTTTCATCCATCTATCAAAGTGTTTATGCAGTTCATAAATTTAAATAGCCAATTTAAAGAATTTACATTGCCAATATTTCAAAAAAACGGATGACTTAATTAAAATATTAATACTATTATACAAGCAAATTTGGATTTGATATAGTTTTCAGGTTCTTCAGTGAAAAATTATATTTTAAGGATTAAGAATTTTTTTTTTTTTTTTTAAATATATTCACTTAACACCGGTTTAAGAAGAGGAAAGCAATAAAATATCTTGGGAGGGATGGGGAGAGTTCATGCACCATTGATCTTGGGGGGGTAGGGATATGCACCCCTGCCTTTTAAGTATTTTTATGGATTTTCTATTTTCTCTCATCAATGCCAGGTTTTTTATTTTACTTTTTCTTAAGCCAGTTCTCATCTATGATTAGTCTCCTACCAATAATTATAAATTGCCTCATCATCTGTTCATTATTAACAATTTAATATTTATTTTTTAGGTAAGTTGAAACCTACTTCTGCATTCATGACTGGCAAGTTGAAGATCTCCGGCAACATGCAGAAAGCTATGAAGCTTGAGAAATTGTTGAGCTCATTGAAATCGAAAGCGTAAATCATCGATGTATAGGGTCACAGGCCATGACAACCGACACCTTTCTAAACACTTCTGTGATCTTTATATAGAGAGAGCCAAACTATTTTTTTATATTTATCATCGTCGTGGCTTTTTAAATTGAAAAAGCCTTATCTGTATTTTATACAAGTTGTTATTTTCTATCCAGTTTTATTCAGTTGTTGTTTAACAGTTATATTTAATCTTATTTTCAGTACTTAAATCACTTTATTTATGTTAATAGTTTTATTTTTAATTCTAATCAGTTTTTATTATAACCGCATACAGATAAAAAAAATTGTCACATTTTTAAATTAATTATTGTGCAATTAGAGGAGACCTGCTCAAAGTATTTATCTCTCGTAGAGTTATTTAATTAATTTTGTTATATTTATACAAATAGTTCAAAATAAAATTGTTTATATTAAACATTGCCTTTTCTGTGTATATTATTTTGTTATTCAAGATATTATTTTGCATAATAAATGGAGCAGGGTATCTTAGTGAGTAAGGCACTGTGGTCCTATGCTCCAAGTCCCATGTTAGAATATGGCTGACAGGTAATTATTTATTCTGTTACACAGTGAATTGACCTTGGGATTGGGAGACCCACCTGAGGAATACTTATTAAGTGGGTACTCCTAATTAAATAATTAATTAAGAGTAGAAAACAGGCAGTTGACTATGATCTGGAGAATAATGGTATTAGAAATAATACAATTATAGATAAAGTATCACAATTAAAACAAAATTCAAGTTCTTTCAATGAAACAGATTATAACAGCAGTATGTACTCCATTAGACTGAAAATCTGTTTGATAGATAGAATATATATAACAACTATAAGCATAAACAATATTAGATATGATTACTTTAATAAAAAAAAAAAAAAATGAAGTAATATCTTAAAATGTTGATAACATGTAAAATCGAAGGGGTATTCAATCGGTATTTATTTCCTATGAAGTGAAAATGGTGGGAAAAGAATGCTAACTTTAAATAAAAAAAGGTGGGTAATATGTAATCTAAACGACATAATTTCTATATTTACTTAAAATGAAGGTGGATGGGACAAGAGCCAACAAGATTACCCCTCCCCAATAGTGGTGATATCTGTTGTAAGCCTTATCTGAAACATTATGGATGACACAAAGATGGCTGAAAGAGTAGCACTTCTGAAGTAGTACTTTTTAATTGTATTGAATTTCAATAGACATGTTTAAAAGTATTCTTTTTGAGAATGATAGAATAGCTTATTAAAAGAGCAAATAAATCGAGAAAGAAAGAAAAGAAATAAGTAATATACAGATTATTGTATAAAAAATGTAGGAAGTGTTTCTTCATGTTAATCCAGTCCTGATCACAGCCAGAATTCTACTGTTCATTCCACATCCACCTCCTTACATAATCTTATGAGATGTTGTTCCACTCTTTCACTAAAATTCCTCATGAATCAGCCAAATTTTGATATGCAAACATGTTTCTTAAGCATGCCCGAAACTTGCTCTTTTGGATTAATGTCTAAACTTCTGGATGGCTAAGCCGAAACCTCGATTTCTTCTTTCTTATTTTTCACCTAACAAGAAACATGAGATCGGGCATTGTCGGGTATTAAAATGAATTCACCCCCTATATTTCTGGCAAAAGGTATCACATGTGGTTCTAGGATCTCTCTTTTGTATTTCAAAGCTGTTGAGGAGCCCCGTTCCTCAAGAACCAACTCCATAGTGGATTTATGCCTCATCAAACCATCACTGAACCTACTCCAAAAGCAATCCTTAGAAAAAAATTATAAGGAGCATACCTATCTCCTTGCCTCCTCCACACTCTTCCGTGTCCATCTGAAGAACTTGGGCTGGATCATGACTCGTCAGAGAATAATACACAGCTCCGGTCTTCCCGAGTCCAGTTTAAGTGTTCTGGACAAACCTCAAGGGCTGAACTCGGAGCTTTCTGGAAAGTACTCGCGTGATGTTTGGGTTGAAACATCGGCACTAATAAAAAGTTTATAATGACTGCGTCCTGAATATTTATCACCCATGATATTTAGAACAGTCGACTAACTTCCTTCAAGAATTTTTACATATATAGATTGGATTTTTTTTTTTTTAATCACTAAAGAAACACCTCTAATATATAAATAGCTTTTATTAAAACCAATGGTAACAAATAATATAATAAAATCAGACAGATTGTAACAACAAAGAGTTAACAATATATTAAATAATTAAAGAATAATTTTATAATGAAAAAAATCAGTAAAAATGAGCCCAATTAATAACTTTTTTCTTAAAAAAATAAAGGGCTAAGATCATTAAATATAAAATATATATTTTTATTTACAACAAATTTTGTACAGCATTAATTTACATGATTTATACAATTATATTTTCTTGACACTAAAGCTCCTCAAGAGATTTATAAATTCCTCTTATCAATTTAGATAAACCGATACCGAATAAATAGGATATTATTTTTTTTTTTTAATCGTATGTTGTGCTTGGGGCATGGAGACAGAGTAGCTGGATGTAATGTTAGTAAAAGCCACTAGTGTGCATTAAAGTCTTATGATCAGTAAAAATGATAAAAATATGAATGAATTATGTTATCATACTTTCGTTTACATGATTGACCAATTCCCATCTTTATATAAACCGTAATAAAAAATTAACCAAAAACACCTTGCACCTTGGAAATAGATAAATATTTGAAACACAAATTCATATCAATTGATGGAATGACCCAAATAGAAAAGAAACATAAGATTTAAAACTAAAAATAGTAGAAATGGTAATAATTGAAGGAATAAAGATATAACAGGGAACTTACTTGAATACTTACAATCTTTCGTAAATAAAGTATTAGATAAAAAAATTGGCCTAAAGCAGCATGAGGCTGCAAGAGAATATCGGAGATTATACCATATGAACCCTGTTAATATAATTTGGGCAATGTCATCAAATCGTTGAAATGAGTGTGTAAAATTGTGGTGTAAAATAAAACAAAATAATATAACAATAATAAATACAACTTAGCATCAAGCTAAGGCTGAAATTTCTATTTTAGGTTTTGAAAAGGGATTGATACAGTAGAAATTTTATTACATTTTAAATCCAATTCATAAATTAATACTTGTCAAATATTTAAAAGAGCTTTTAGTGTTTCAATTTGAAATTATTTTTAATATTTCAAATTGCTTGAACAGAGAAAAACCAGATTAAAAATATTCTTGTCCTAAATAAAATAATAAAATATTGAATAAAATACAGAAAAATAGAAGCATAATAGAAAATCTTCTTTTCAATTCATGATATGAATATTTGAAATATTTCTCTAAGACAACTAAAGTAACAGACTAAAATTAGCTTTGTAAGTTCATAAAAAACAAAAGTATTATACTTTTGTAAATCTCTTGATAAGAACAAAAATAAAATTCGTATTGTTAAAATTTTGGCCTATAATATAACAATAATAAATACAACTTAGCATCAAGCTAAGACTAAAGAGCCATGGGCCTGTGATACCTCATTCATTAATGGTATTTAGAAACTAATGATTTTTTTTTTATTCCTATTACAGTGTAGGAAATAAACATATTTTTTATTTGTTTTAAAATAAATAAATCAGCATTTAACCAATTTAACAAAACTAATACTTGTTACATAAAACTTTAGAACATAAAAGCTTTTAGTAATTTCCTGTATATTGCTAAAATACATTCTCATCTAACGTAAAATTAACTTAGTATTAAAAATTAAATTATTGCCAGAAAATAAAAAATTAAAATTTTAACAATCAATGACCTCGATATCTCACAAATACTTCAAATTATATTAACTTTTAACAGTAATAATTTAAACACTACTATGTATTATTTCATATTCTTTGGTTGATAATGTGCCTGTGAAAACAATTAGACATACACAAAAAAAATTAAAAATGACAACATTCAATCAATTGTGATAACATAATTCCGATGGTCTTCCAATTCCATATTTTTGAAACAGTTAATAATCCATTTGTAACTAACGAACTCGCAACTAATATGACTATTGTTGCACAGTTCATTTAATTTTTTTAAATTTTCCAAATGAGTTTCATCTACTATAATATAGTTGACAAGTCTAGTTATTTCAGAACAGACATTTCCACTTAAAAATTTGAAAATAAGTTCAGCATTTTTCAAATTCGCAACTTCGATATTGTTCAGATCAAAATAAGCATAGGCATTTCTGAAAATGGAATATGGACTGACTTTACCAAAGATAAGTTGATCGATTTCTTTGACCTCTTCTATACAACAATTTTGGACTGGAGGCATTGCGCTGAAGATAGTCGCCATTTGTTCTTTGGTTACTGGTTCATAATAGCTGTCGCCGAAGACATCGTATTGCTCGGAAATGATCAAATCAGTTTTTAAATCACAGCTGATAAGATTCAGCCTATTCCATGGAATAAGCTTACCTTCAGAAACACATTTCAGCAGCCAATCGTGAGTGGTGACATTGTGTTTTTTAGCTCTAATAACATTCTGTACACGGATATTTTTTGATCCAAATACAACACAGAATGTAGAAGAAGTGGGCTGCGGAACAACAGAACCTCCATTTCCAAGGACTAAGGCCTCAAGATCCTGCTTGGAATGCTCCTCAATGCCTGTTAAAATACATATCTCTTTTCCTGCAAAAATTTCAGAAGTCTTTTCTACCTTCGCTCGCGGCTGGCTGCAAGTTTGATTTTCTTCCAACTTTCTCTTCCTCCTTGTTTTGGGGACAACATGACCAGCAGTCAACTTCCCACTGTAAGCCATCCGGAGCTTGTTGAATTCCTCAATCGACAGGCAGTCTGACCATAATTTATCTTCTCTTATGGCCTCCACACGCACAAAACGTAATGTATAACCAGTATAATAGGCATCCGTTCTCATAACTTCAGGCGATTTAACCTGTAAGATTTTGGAACATCGGGGAGTGATGTAAACATCTGGCTTTTCTCTTTTCAAGAGCAAAAATGATGGCGGATTATTACTTTTAAATTTGATCCAATGTGGATTGAGTTTGGAATTGAGCTCAGCCCTTTCTTCATCAGATAATCCTGAGCTGACCCTAGCAACACTCATAAATGTAGTAGGGTTGTCACTTTCATCTGCAGCAACTCCAAGAAGAAAGTGACATATCTGTCCCTTCATTCGTCCTGAACCGTAATAACCTCCAATAATTAGCAAGTCTAAATCGACAGTACCTTCTGAATAATCAGGTTTTATCTTAATCCATCCATCTTTTCTAGAATTGGGCTTGTAAACTGAATCTGGATCCTTGAGAATTATTCCCTCTTCACAATCATCTATGGCAGTATTGAGTGCCTCAAAAACTTGCCCCGTGCTGTTTATCAGAGATCTTTCCACTGTCATGATGACGCCTTCTGCAGGAGTAAATATTTTCTCCAGTATCTTGATCCTCTCCTTGTAAGGATGGTTTGTCACCATCTCATCATTGTATAAAATAACATCAAAGACACAGAAACAAGGCTGAATCGAACTGCCAACTTTCAGCTTTTTAACATCTAAATTTATTTTACCTTTGCTAATCAACTTATGACTCCCACGCTGCCAACCCATCATTTCACCATCTAAGACACAACTTATCAGATTACTGTCCAATTGTTTCATTATCAAAGAAGTAAAATATCCACTTTCAGGATCTTCACCATAATTCTCAGAATATTCATAACCATTTCTCGAAAAATACTTGAATTTTCGATCTTTATAATGTAGCTGAAATCTTTCTCCATCAAATTTGTTTTCAACATAAAACATAGAATTAAGAGATAATTTATGAATATCACCCCTTTCACACAGCATAGGCCTGAAAGCTCTAAAAAGTTCTATATCTAATTCATGGTAACGTACATTGCGGTCTTTTAATTTAGAACACACTTCACAAATACTATTGGTAAGAATGTACAATTCTGCAGCATCAGGATGGTAAAGGCCTAGAATTCTATTAGTTCCAAGGCCGATGCCCATTTCTTTGATAATAATTCTTATCAACCACTTCTGTTCATCATGTGACATCTTCTGAACCATATTTGTGAACTCGTCATCAACCCCCCTGGGGTCATTCCCTTTATGCTTATTAGCTATATTGTCCAAAGCTTGGTTCACATCCCCGATGGTCATTTTATTACCTTCACCACACCTGGTTCGTAAAATGCAACATACAACTTCTGCGAAATCCCCCACAAAACCACTTGTCATCGATGAAGGTGAAGAAAAATTCATCAGTCTCTCAGCTTCGAAGCCATTTGGAGGCAAAGATAATATTCTCTTGTATGTCCTGGCAAGATTTATCTCTTTCATGCCATATGGACCTCGCTCCCTATCCAATTGAGGCAGGAGCAGTCTCAGAATGGGGAAGAAGCTTACTGGGTTTGTTTTCATAACATTGTCAATAAATTTTTGCAGTATTTCCGCTCTCTTTTTTGCTAATTTTTGTGATTTTATTTTTTCACACATCTTACAAAAATGGTGGAAAGGAATATCATTTAAATTTTTTATAGCTTCGGTCATCTTAATTCATAAAAATAAAACTATATCAGTTAAAATAAAACTTTGCGAATATATATGATAAATTTAAAAATTCCAATTCGATAAAGAATAAATTATAACAAAAATTAATAAAACAGTGGAGACCTTATAGAAACTTCATTGTTGTTTACTATCTAATATGTAACCTACCAAATAAACATACCATAGAGAACTGAGGTCATAGAACTAAGAAGAAATATCAACTTTTTAACAATACTTTTACTGCACTTCAATTTATTTTTGTTTATTTAACGACTTCTACAACACTAGTCACATATCGTCACCATTTTTATTTCTTTAACTATATATTTCTATTTTTCTTTGAGTTGACTTTTTTCTTTCACAAAAGAATGCGAAAGGTGGTGGAGAAAAGAATAAAAATAAAAGTTCTCTACCTATTTAAAACTGGCCAAAAAATGCCAAAACTAAAGCTACTATTGACTATCATACAGCCGTTATTAGAAAGATAAGAAAATTATCAAATCAGGTAAAAAATAATTCCTCAAAGAAAGATAACAAACCATGAGGACAATTTGCAGGCAGTAGATATACGTATATACTCGAATTCTATTCAGGCATAAGGAAAGAAAAGGTAGAATATAAAGTGAGAAATATGAAAATTCCAGGAAAGTATGGCATTCTGACTGCATGAAAAGAAAAGATATTGAGGTTAAAACAGCAAAAATAAATAAGAACTACTATTAACTTCTTGGTTAATTGATATGATCTTTCATGACATTTTACTCTTATAACATTTTTGTTTAATTATTTTTATTTATTAAAGTACACATTTTTATTTTTCTGAAACAAAATAGCTTTTTTTACGTTAATGTGTCGAATTTAATCAAAATAATTTGAGCCAGTTTTTAGAAAATATAGAAACAACAAGTTCGATAAATTTCCACTACCAGTTAGTCAATTTTCAAGAACAGAAAAAAATATTTCCAATTAGTCTGAAAATAAAAAATAATAAATATCGCATAAAGAAAAGTATACATAAAAAGTGAAATAAACATCTAGTTTCGGTCTACTTATTTACATTATCAACAATCAGCCAGAGGAACTCCGAATCAGGCTTGTACCCCTACCCTTACATATGGAGGATATCTCAGCTTCTTCCCCAACCGCGTCATTAGTATTTAAAGTCAGTGGAGATCGCGCGAGGGCACTACAGCCACACTCACATGACTCCAGCAAAGAATCTGCCCAGTGCCAGAACTCTAATATATCATATTTGCAAAAGATCGCAGGTCACTGGCGTTTTAACTTCCGAGAAGGATTTTAGATATGGATGGACTGTGCTGCAGTATTTAGATGATGAGTAAGGTTCTGATGAAATTAGAAAAATTTTGTCTGAGATGAGGCCAAGAACACATAGTACTTTAAAAGGTCATCTTGTTTAGTTTTTTTTTTTGCTCCCTAATACGAGGGTTTCCTGGCCAGAGAGAGAGGGCGGGGGATTAATTCCAGAGTTAACTCTCCTCCTGGGCACGCGAACTCGTAGTTATTTTTATCTAAGTATCTTATATATCCCCGCCCACATCCCCTGGCTCGGGGAAACCCTGTATAGTCATAAAGGCGATGAAGGGGACGACCCAAAAAAAAATCTTATATATCAGAATTGGCGGACGACGCGCGGTGATGTGCATACGCATTAACCGAGGAAGCTATATGGAGTTAAAATAAACAGGTGGATAAGATTTGCGAAAAAAATAATTGTGATATGTTAGGATCTGGATTAATTTTGCTAGGAAGCACCAATTATTACAACAATATTCATTAAGGGGAGATAACTTTGTAGGTCTATGGATGCTGTTTCAGGATCTGAGTTGGATGATAGGATGGCTGTGTCATCCGCGAATATTGTCAGTAGGATAATCGAATAAATAGAACAGCAGTAACGAGAATGTAAAGATAGAAGCGGTCAGAGAGGAATATCGTAAATAGTAATAAAAATTAGTAAAATATAAACTATAACTGAACGATAAATAAGAGTTAGGAATCTTAAAATAAATATGTCAAAGTAAACTTCGTGGACAAATACCAAGAAAACAAATTATACAAAATGTACTATATTATAAAACAGCGGTTCTCAGATATTTTATATCACAGCACCTATATTAGGTTAAAAATAAATCTCGTGCTGCAAAAAATACGTGGCACCCTTATAATTAAATAAATATTTAAAATATACAAACGTAGAAGAAAATGGAGAGATTGGATAGGTTTAGAAAATATGGTTATTGATTCTCTAAGGATTCACCTCAAGCATAAATATACTGTGTTGTTAATTGTTTTGAATGAATATGCTATATACCCTTTATAATTTTTACTTTCATTCACCTATTTATGAAAACTAGTGTTCGCCCAGTGGTCGAAATTCGACCATAGCCATTAAAAATTTGAGGAAAAGATATGATTAATTAAAAAAATAAAGTAAATAAATAAAGAGTAAATAACGATTCAAAAATCCTCATTTATTAATACAAACAAAATTTCAATTTCAATTAAAAATCGAGCTTAAGTCATTTAAAATTATTTATAAGTAATACAAAATATACTCATTCAAAAATATTTAATTTTCGTTTTAATATATGTGTTTTATTATGACAATAAATTAATGTTATGATTAAGCAAGTAATAAATAAATTTAAATTAGCAGATTAACATTACATGATATCATCTCTTCAAATAATAGACCCAATTACCTCAGAAAATGAAATATTTTCGATTTATCAAAAGATAAAATAAAAGAAATCGAATTTGGAAGGGAAAGAAACATACTAAATGTTTAAAATGATGGAATATACCTCTGCAAAAAATAGTTTGATTTCGATGATTTTTTTTTTTTTATTTTGTAGGGAATTTAGGAAGCTTTCAAATAAATATTGGTATCATCAGTAAAAAATGTGTACTTTTTGAGTTATTCGCAAATAAAATACTGAATTCATCATAAAAATGTATGCAGCTTGTTTTCGGGAAAGTATGTTATATAAATAAATTATAAAGGTTTCAAGGAGAAGGCTTTAGCCAAGTTTCATTGAAATCATTGAAGCCGTATTGGCGCTACATTCTAAAGCGAATCACGTTTTTCGGCTGCCATTTCGAAAGGAAAGGCCCGATAATAATGAAACGTATACAAAAAACTTCTAAATATTATTGCGACGTTGTGTCAAAATTTTTAAAAAATCGGTGATGAACTTTCGGAGTTAAGCCGTTTTGAACAAACTACCATTTATATTTTTATTCACATGATATTTAATATTTTTATTTATTGATAACACTAAAGCTCGTCAATATCTATTAAACAAAAAAAATAATGAAGAAAATCGGTTGAATAATAGAGGAGTAAAAGGGGCTGAACCGATTTGTGTTTGCCTATTTATATAATGATATCTATTTCAACTCAAAGTAGGGTGGTAAGTGAAAGTTTCGTGATGCTTACAATGCATCAGATTTATTATATAATAATTCCATTATTATATAAAACATATACATATGATATATTATTTGTGATGCTGAGTTATTGGCTCAAATGGAATATTGTTTCAAATTGACACTAATGAAATACAGACCATTATTATTTTCATCGATCTATTTGAACCTCACTTTAGTAGATTATTGTTTTCATTGTAAGCCAACGAGGACCAGCTCAACTAAATGGCTTTTAGTTGTGGCAGCTGAAGCATGGGACACATTTATGGCTTCCTTAAATATTTGGGAACACCTTACAACCTGAAGAAGAAACCAGCTACTCTTCAAATATTGTTGTTCTTTCTGGCGTTGGTTTTGTGTTTAGCGTTTTTTTGGGCTGCTTGGAAACACAGCAATCTCACATTCGTCGGTTTGTGGTACACCTACTTGTTTTCATTTCTTCTTAATTGGAGCGAGACAACGGCAGTGATTTTCTTTTCGGCAAAGAACCTCAGACCCAGACACCCACTCATTTCCATCGTTGAAGAACTTACTGAAATAATGGAAAGCGAAGATATGACACACCACAGCAGTTGGTTTTACCTAGGTCTTGGAATAAATTTACCATACTTGCTAATTATGTTAAATTATACTTTAAAACATGAAAGAGAGTTATTTAAATTGATTCCCGCGATCTTTAACATGGTGAAAGAGCTGACTATGTCGATGCATTTGGCACAGGTATTGGAACCACTCCACGTCATTGTTTCAATTATTTCGCAGATCAGAGCCCGCTTACACGCTTACAGTCATGAACCGGACTCAAACCAGAGCAAGAGGATTTTGGAGTTGATTATAATCGAGCGAAAATTAGAAGTAGTATTAAATCAGCTGATTGAGGAGTACGGCAAGGACATTATTCGTATATTTTACATTTCGACGGGAAGGATGACGTTATCGCTGTCCACCTCACTAATCTTCCTTATTCCAGAAAGATATGGAGATTTTTTTTTCCTGATTCCTGTATTTTTGTTCTTAATAATAGCTAATATGTACAGGGTCTGGTCAGTGGCGGACGCTGCTCAGTTCGTGAGGTATCAGGTAAACCAGCCTTAAGTTTTAAATAACTCTATTAAATCAGTTTTATTTTTTGTGATAACAATTATTCTGATCAAAATATTTATATATTCTGGGACGAGTCCTTTTAGAATAAAATAAATTTCAGAAAAGTTTTTATATATTTACATATGTTCATGAAGAAACAAAAAAGAATTGAAGTAGATACATTTTCCTAAACATTTATCAAACATAAGATTTGAGTACGATTTATTTGATAAACTAAAGCAATGTAAACCGGCTTAAGGTAGATCAGTGTAAAAATTTCAATACTATCGGTAAAATAAAATATAATCAGAACATTAAATACATAAAATCATCTTACCAATAAGAAAGAAATGTTTATCATTCGACTCCGATGTTTTTAGTGTCCGAAACAGTTGTACTTTCTTCAATGTTGCACTGCTAACGCTTTATAAAAATAATAATTCGTCTCTATTGTGTTCTATCTCATGAAGTCGAAACAACTAATGCTATGTTAAAAAAAAATACTGGTGTTTCCACTCACACGACTTTCCTACCTATTTCAGAAAAGTTTTTATATCTTTACATATGGTCATGAAGAAAAAAAAAAAAAAAAAACTAGATACATTTTCCTGAAAATTGATCAAACATAAGATTTGAGTACGATTTATTTGATAAACTAAAGCAATGTAAACCGGCTTAAGGTAGATCAGTGTAAAAATTTCAATACTTCCTAATATTGCTGATCAAAAACTTTTTGGCATAGCTTAGTATTGGTAAACAATAATTTGTGTTAAAAGTATAGAAAATATTGAAGATTGTGTGATGCAGGCAGATTTTCTTACTTCCACTTAGTCATCTTTATTCTCTCATCCACCCCTTTCTGGCACCAGGATATGAAACCGTACTCTTACATTGGAAATTGAATAGCTGTAACTTCGTTAATAGTTGTCAAAAATGAACGATTTTTATATGGTTTTGTTATTAATTTCATTACCTTTCAAACGACAGGCGTGTTTTTAGGAAATGCGTAAAAAATAGAATAAGCTGTATCATCGCTAATACTGGTTCGATTCCGATGATTTTTTTTTTTTTTGTTTTGTTGGTAATTTAATTACCTTTCAAAAGTTTTATTATAAATTTTACCGTATAATTTATACTTAGGGAGTTAGGCCCTATAACATTTTTCTTTTCTTTATAATTTTTTTCCTGAATTTTTTGGGGAATATAGTCTGTATACGAAAATTGAAAGAACAATGATTAGAACATTATAAGAAAGTTTCATCAAAATCGTTAGAGCCGTTTTTGCGCTACAGTCTATAGAAAAACATGTTTTTCATTTATTGCGCGCAAGCTATTTCGCATGGAGCACCGAATTTCTGTCACAGGCATCAGTAGTCAAAACCCTACAAAATAAAAAAAGAAGGAACAAAATCGGTTCAGTAGTTCTCGAGAATATCTTGGCACAGACAGACCAATGGCTAAAAATGTATTTTTCGGATTCACGAGGCTCTGAAACGTATAGATCCATTGAAAACCGTATGTCGAAAATTTGACCCGATCGCAATACTTTCCTTACCTAGAATAGGTAGGAAAGTAAAAAAGTATAAGTTACCCTATAACTTTTATCGATTAAGAAAAAAATATATAATTGTTTGATACTTCAAATAATTTCTTTTGTACCACTATGCACAGGTCTGATTACCCTCCTGGTAACGTAATTTGGTGGCAGCTAAGTTGTTCGACTAGTCACATAGTATAATTACTCAAGCAGTACAATCAATGAATAATTATAGAAGAAAATGGCGGGGACACAATTTTTGACTTTGAATCTTTGTTTGGATTAGTAAGGAGGTAAACATACTAAAAGTCCCCAATCCTGTGTGGTGAGCCAAATATGAGAAAGGAGGGCCTAGAAAGTCATTTTTTTCGAGTTTTCGTTTATATCAGGAAAACTACACATCGCATCGACAAAGATGTTCTATACAAAATTAAAGCTTATAAAATTTGCAATATGATTGATTAACCTTTTTTCGCTACTTCCCTCTGTTTTCGAGATATCTGTCCTCAACAATGGCTGATTATGATAAAAAAATATAAAATAAAAAAATTAGCCTCATGTTTATTGCTGTATTTCAGGTTTTCGTTTATATCAGGAAAATTATCCCTCGCATCGTTAAATATGTTGTATACAAAATTAAATCTGATAGGATTTGCAATATGAATGATTATATATTTTTTTTCGCTACTTCGCTTATCTTCCTTAACTATCACTAATTTAGAAAAATATATATTTTTATCTCATGTTTTTATTATATTTGAATAGCTAACTCTTCATTGCTCCGTTCTACGATTAAGTCATGGGGAAGAAATACAGCAATAAACATGAGACAAACAATTTTTTCTCCAAAATTAGCCATAGTTGAGGACAGATTTCTCGGAAACTATGCGACGTAGTGAAAAAAATGTATTTAATCAATCATATTGCTAATTTTGTCAGCTTTAATTTTGTATAGAATGTCTTAGTCAATGCAATGGATATTTATGTTCTAGTTAATCCTGATATAAGCGAAAAACCGAAAAAAGTGACCTCCCACCTTCCAACATTTGGTTCCACATCCACATCCAACAAATAGGAGTGGAGACTTTTAATATGTTTTTCTCCTTACTAGTCCAAACAATATCCAAAAGTCAAAAATTGTGTCCCCGCCATTTTCCTCTATACTCCCTTTTCGAGCATTCATTGACTGGACCATAGACAACTTGCCCAGATTACATTTATATTGAACTTTGATAGAGGCCGGTTGTCGGTTTAGTTACCGTTCTGGTGACGCAACTTACAGGGGCAACTTGGTTGCTCGGCTGGGTAACAAGGGTTTCACTCACATCATACATGTTACCAAAGCATACATATTACTTTTACTGAACCATGAGGTCGTGATGGTCGATCATAAGCTTTATCATGCTCGAGTCTAACGACGCCGGTTCGAATCCAGTCTGGGCGAGTTAAAATTTATTGCATTTGATGTAGACCCACTGAATGAATCTCGACATTATCATTCTGATTAGAATAGATTTGGTCGTATCTCTAGAAATGGTGAGGTAGATGTAAAATAAATAAAGTAGGGGCCTTACCAGACGGTCGTTCACTTCCGTCTACTTTTGGACACACTCGGCCATTCTCGAGATTCCATTGATGTTATGATCATATGATCTTTTGGGCCGGATAGCGAAGCTGGCTAATGCATAGCACCGTGTAGCAACCTGATATAAGATAATTGGATAAAAATAATTACGAGTTCACGTCCCGGTGCCAGCGGGACTTATAACTCTGGTATTAATCCTCCGCCCTCACTCCCTGGCTCGGGAAAACTCCGTATAGCCTAAAAGGCGAGAAAGGGGTGAACGAAAAAAATATATATTATAACATCTTCTGTGCAAAAAAAGTATAATCTAGTAATTGTAGAAAGAAAAAAACATTCAAAATATATAGTGAAGGAAGTTTCAATTGTAATCAATATTATGATTTCAGATGGAGAGATTTCATTCTGAATTATACACAGTAAGCTTGGAATACAAAACTCAGGAGCTGGCCAAAAATGTGAGCCGAACTTCTAATCACTTATTTATATTTACTGATAATTTTTTGAAGCATTATTTCAATATGTATCAGAATATTTATAGGGTGTAAAAAAAAAATAAAATAAAAAATAATGACCGCTTTATCAAATTCAAGATTCCAAAGGACTGTAAGTATTTTAATATTATTTAATACTTACCAAATAACTCCATGGCGCTACAAACGGGTGTGGTCCTTGACCGCCTCAATGATTCCTCGCCAGATGGCTCTATCTCGCGAGGTCGCTCGCTAGTTGCGGCTATGCAATAATTCTCTGGCGTCCCGGATGACGGCGTCCTCCCATCTTACACTTGGTCTGCCTTTCCCTCTTGTCCTGCAGAGCTTCCTATCAAGCAACTTCCTTGGGACTTCCTCTTCTGGCATTCTGACCACATGGCCAGCCCTACGTAGTTGCCCAAGCTTGATGCACCTCAATACATCTGTCTCCCCATACAGATCATATAGATCCCTGTTAATTAGTACGTTTAGTAAAGTTACTCCAAGACCTAGGTAAAATCAGCTGCTATGGTGTGTCTTGGTTCTTCAATACTTACCAAGACTTAATAATCACTTTAGAGCATTCTCTAAACTTGTTTGATACCATTTGACTTCTTTAAAAAAATCCTCAGTTTATTTATTTGTTTCAAAGAAGAAACATGACAGTGTCCTACAAAATTATCGTAATTTTAAGGCATTACTGAAAGAAAAAATTCACAGGCGTTGAAGCAACTCGTTAAATTATTAAATATGAAGGAGAAGGTTTCCTTGATCAGCGCACTGCGCAGCGTTTTTTCTAAAAATTAGCAGTGCAGATAGGGCGTTAAAAAGAAAGAAGGGTTCCGGGCAACCTTTAATGGATATTTATGAGGTTCTGAAGGAAGCTGTTGAGTCAAATCCGTCCACAAGTATTCGCGACCAGGGAGTGTGGTGTGTCGAAAGATACTGTTACTCGCCATCTAATCTCCAAGGGAAAGATGGAAAAGAGCAGTAGACTGGTTCCTCAAAAACTTACTCTTCAGCAATCAGCTAAGAGGTTAAAAATTTGTGAACATTTATTGAAAAACCCTTCTGAAATGAGATTTTACTGAAAGATTATCACCTGTGACGAAAAGTGGGTTTACTGAGCAAGGGCTAGACCGCGGTCAAACTGCTTTTTCGGTTGCTGTAAGAGGACAATTTGAAAAAAAGTCCATGCTTTCCGTTTGTTTTTTTTTTAATTTTAGAGGTGTTATTCATCACGAATTTGTTCCTGATGGATGCTCTATGAATTCTGAACTCTGCTCGGAACAACTGGAAAGATTGTACGCGAAGTTGTCAGAGCTATATCCTTCTTTGATTAACCGGGTACTTCTTAAATAGCGGGGCGGGACGAAGCCTCCCTTGTTATCTAATGTTACATCAC